TAATCGAACCTCGTTCATCAATATATGCAATATCGCCCGTATACAGCCATCCTTCAGAATCAATTGTTGCCTTTGTATTTTCAGGGTCTTTATGGTATCCAAGGCACACATTCGGACCACGAAGACACAGTTCTCCTCGTGGATACGGTTTATCAATAGACAAATAGTTCATTTCGGGAACATCTACAAGCTTAAGCTCAACACTTGATGTAAGGAAATGAGTGGAGCACGAATAATCATTGAAGGAGGGAGAGAATAAATAACGTAAAAAAGCAATTAAACAATAAAACAATAAACATAGTGATAACTTACCAAGCGCATGGTCCACCAACATGTCCTGCCTTATTTTCGCCTTTTCCGGTCAGTGTTGCAGAAGCTACCCCTTCCGTTTGGCCATATCCTAAACATTTTAACATCAAATAAGCTCATCGTGTCTTCCCTAGCTTCTTCCCTGCTTCACTTTATTTACAAACCTTCAGCTATATCACAGACGAAAGCAATTCTCAAAAACTGCAGCACTTCTGAAGCAATCGGTGCCGAGCCTGTTATAATGCACCTTACTCTTCCTCCTAAAAGCTGTCTAACCTTCCTAAAAACCAATGTATCCCAAAACGCATGGGTATATCCCTCTCCTTCTTCAAATTGCCGAATTTTTACTTCAATAGCCTTTCTCGCCAACGCTCCCTTTAAACCGGAAGCATCCATCGTAGCTTGTTGTAGTTTGCCGTATATGCGTGTGAGCAAGCGCGGCACTGAAGGAAAGAGTGTTGGCCGGAGGCAAGCTATGTCATCAACTAGTGTTAGAATGTCGCCGCGGAAATAGCCTATGCTAGCTCCAGCAGTAATGACGCTTATTTCCGCCATTCGGCCGAACACGTGAGCAAACTTAAAGCGTGTAGATATTAGATGGAAAGTAAATACATTATAAGAGTAGGCTCAACGGGCAGCTAAATCGAATTTTTAATAAACTTACCGGTAGATATGAGATAAGAACCTGTATAATCAGACATACATCAGTAAGCTTCATCAGCCAATTAACAGTTCAAAAAAATTATAACTCACTGTACTTACATCATCTTGGCGTGCAGGCCACGTTCGTAAGACTCCCGCGCAGGCAGCAGTGATGTTTTTATGGCTCAATAATGCGCCTTTTGGCACTCCCGTAGTTCCAGACGTGTAGCAAATACAAGCAAGATCATTTGGTGCTGGCTTAAGATGCTTTCTCGGATGTTTCTTCCCTAGTTCTTCGACCTCCGTAAAATCTATCAAAAGAATTCCCTTTTCGGCTGCCCATTCTTTTAACACTTTTCCTGCAGAGACATCGGAATTCGTAACGGAAGATGGTTCGGATAAAGGATCCATAGAGATTATGACCTTGAGACCGGGTGACTTATGAGATATGCGAAGAATATTCTGGATGCGATTTTCGGCAGCAACAACGATTGCAATGTCGGCGTGGTTGATGATGTACCCAACAGTTTCTAAATTTTCCGAAGAATGGCAGTTAATAATGACTAATAGAGAAGAGCATAATACAAAAGTCGAAGGTGGAGAAATACCTGGACCAAGAGTGTCGTATAGAGGGACGGTAACCAAGTTTTGCATGGTGCAAGCCTACGTGGGCAATAGTTAGTCTATTAGTATCCGTTTTTAACAGCAACTACTGTCTTCGGATTTTCGTTCCCTACCTGATCAGTAACGAACCACTCTTCGAAAAGAATACAAGATTAGTTAATTAGTTATTATCCATACCATAGTATCTTCCAGCATCTTTCTTAGAACGCTTTAATAAACTTTATGAAAGAGATCCATTCTCACCTGGGCGGTTGCTAGAATATACCCCAACAGTCCATTGACCTACTTTAGAATTCTTCACCTCATTTTCACTCAAATACACCAACCCAGCAGCTAAGTTATTGGCGCGATTTGCAACTTCATCGTACGTCTGCCAGACATACTCGCCATAATTGCCAGTGACTTTATTGAACGGACGATGACCGATACATGGCTTGTCTTTTGATATGCTGACAGCTGGATGTGAAGCAAGCAGTTTTTAATGATAGCGCGGACAGGAGGGTTGATTCTGAGCATGAAATGCAATTTACCGTACTGAAAAATTTCGTAAAGCGTTGTCACGCCCGGTCTGTGAATTTGTAAAAGAATACGTTTACTTGAATACAACAAATGTCGAAAACTCCGTTGTTTATTAATCGTCAGATGTTTTACCTGAAAGTCGTAACAAGAGTATCAGGACTGTCAACATTGCGATAAATTCCTTTTCGCAACAATAAAATTTTATGTAAATATGATTGTTTAATCACATTCTTTATCCTCATTCGGTTCCACACTAACCTGTCTGTCCTTGCTTGCGCGTATTAGGTAGTTCAATGCTATACTTGATTGGCACTGGAGCAGACATTATTGTTCGTTAAGATGGTAGAGAAGATTCAATATCGAGATCGGCGTACTGCAAAAAATCAGTCAAAGTGCGTCACACAAATGGAGCAGATCCTGTTGATCATCTCAATCGACCAAACTAAACAGGAGGAGATTCGCCAAAAAGGTTATCGTTACCAAATATGGAATCAAACCGTCAATGGAAATAGAAAACACGTCGCTGTAATTTTTTTCTGATAGGCATTGTATGATTTTAGTCGTCAAGGCGGTTGAAAGTGTTCACTCGTACAATTCATTATTAATTTAGAATAACATATTAATATGCGAGTTAAATAGTGTGAGCAGAACATCTATACTTCATTGTTTATTACCAAGATCAATATAGATAATCCTTTCGCTACTAATATAAGTAACTTGTCTACAATGAATTACAGCTGCAATAAAAGCGAAAAGCGCGCGCATCCACACCTGCGAAAAATAAGAATTTGGGCCTAATTTATTGTAACTTAAAGCTTATCGTTAGCGAGAACATGAATTGGAAAAACCAACGGTCACGGAGAGATTTCTCAGAGTTAAGGCTGAGCAACGAGCTACATCCTAATACACAGTCAGACTCGCCCTCGATAAGTCGGTTTTGGCTTAAGTCGGCCAAAAATTTTCGGATCTTTTTTTCACTATTTAAAATTCTCGATAAGTCGTTAAGTCGGCCAACGGCTCTCTTAGTAATATGGCATTATTATTGAGTTGGTGGCGATATAATCAGTTTAATTGGTCAAGACACTGGCGTTAGAAAGTTGAAATGTTCATTCATACTAAATATTTTACTTTTGGCAATTATAGATGAGGAAAGCGAAAACGCACAACGAAATTCGTTTTATCCAGGTTTCGTTTTATCCAGGTTCACTGTGTATATGCAATCGTCACCTGCCTCATAACGCGCTTTACTTTTGTTTAACAATTACTGATTTCCAAGCTTGACAAGGAGGAACCTTGTTTCATTGTTCAAATAGTCCATTCTCTCCACTAAAAACTGAGCACCTGCGAGTACCAAATCACGCTTTTGTTAATTTCCATCTTCAATTGCAGTGTGAACGTTCATTCACCCATGTGCGCCATTTGCCTGCTATTTTAATTTTGTTTTTAAGATGCCTCGCAAATTCCAACTTCCTAAAACCCTTATTGAACCTGGTAAATTTTGTTATTACTATTAGTTTTTATACTGATACTCTCATAGATTACTGGGTCAAGAGTCCTAGTATCCCTCCGGCATATGTACCCTCCTTCTAACAGCCAATTAAAATTTAAGATTATTCCCAAACCGACTTCTTCATATTCTTCACCGTCAATACTATTGAAATTCATTACTTCATCATTTTCATCATTTTCATCATTTTCATCATTTTCATCATTTTCATCATTTTTATTCTCATCTAACAATTCATAATCAAACACCACATCATCCTCTGTCCCGTCCATTTTGACTGAAACACCACAACACTTAATATCAACTTCTTCCCACGAATCTCTTACCCATTGAGCAAGAGTACCGTATGGTGGTTTGCAGTTGCAGAATCCACGAGGCCATATACTAAGTCAAGACACGAGACACTGGGAGACCTATGATGAGCAGACAAATAATCTGAATTTTATTAGTAGTATCTAATAATGCGCGTTAATTATAACATACAATTTCGAGAACATAATTCCGCAACCAATAGAAGTTTAAAGAAACAAATCGAGATATTATGATGGGGGACATATTAATCAGTACGATGTACCCCCCCCCCCCACACGAGTACCCCGGGTACAAGGGAAGTACTCGTGTCGGAGAAATACGGTAATTTTTTCCTGAAGAAAAATAATAATCTTGATGCCGTTTGACGGAAGAATCAAAGAAAATTGCCATAGACAAGCGAGTCAGGAAGGTCTGTATTCTTTCCCCACATTCCTTCTTCCTTAGGAACTTGCCTTTTTAATTGATTGGAATCTATTAAATTGATATTTACTTTTCTTACTTCATCTAGGAAAAGATTGAACATGAAATGGTGTGTTGCTGTTCTAGTAACACTGCTACTCTTCCACTTGAAAGTAATACTTATTTAATTTTATCCAGGAAAATATTTAATATGTTGCAGTCGCTGCCACAGCAGAGGCATCTCGAAAACATTTCCTGGAAGCATCAATTCAGCTAAGTAAATAGAACAAGTTATCACAGATCAAGGAACTCTGAAGGCATGGGGAATTAAGCATACTAATACTCCAACCACAGCGGCGAATCCGCACTTAATTCATCTAGTACTAGGTAGCTGTTACTATGATGTAAATGATACAGCCTCTTGTGTTGTTTTCATGGATCAAGGTTAATGTATAGTTCTTTCTCTTATAGTCAATAATTCCAGTCAGGAATATTACCAAATTTGGTAGATCGTTTGCATGCAGGGTTTTTCTGTTTGATTCACAAGAGTCTATACGTTTTGATACATACTCCATGTGACCGAGAACCAGTGTTATGTAGCCAAAATCATTTTACATGCTCCATTGATTATAAATGCACTAACAAAAGGGTTATATTCCTTGAAACTTTACTATTGAGTTATCAACATCTATAATAATCGCGTTTTCCCAGAGATTTCTTGCTCTTGTTTATATCTTGTTAAACGCTCTTCAGCCGAAGAGTCACCAAGTAATAGTGCAAGTGATGCTGACATGCATAGTCCAGATACGTCACCCGCTCTTGCAACAGCATTAAGTGCATTGGGGATGGCTGCTGGCTTTTGTGAAGCTATATGACTACCAGAAATGTTGAACGTCAGAATAAATAATTAGTTGGCTGTGTGAATTTGATATAAAAGAGTACAAACCACATTGCAGCTTGTTCATAGGAAGGTTCTTTCTCTAATTGTAATGCCCAGTCTGAATGTAAATCAAGTATTATTGGATCATCTTGGGGAAGACGTATCTTTGCTAGAGTTAGAGCCTCCCTAATGATTAATAATCCGTTTATTATTTGCAACACCAACTGATATAATGACAATTATGCTTTAAAAACTCACCTGTACATGTCAGCTTGTTTGTATATGTTGATAGCCTCATAGATTTCGCCACATGCTATTAAGCACATTACAGCAGCATGGTGCTCACCTTTAGCCAAGAGTTTTTGCGCTTGCTTACGCAAAAGTGATTGCCATACATCCCTGCCAGCTGAAGATAAAACAGCTTCAGCCTAATACTCAACAATTGGATGAATTAGACTATATGCAGTGACCAATTCCTATAAACTTACCGAGAGGACTCAGGGCAAGTATAATCCAATCCTGTGATGATAGTCCTTCATTCTTATCCAAACGTTCAATCAAAGCTGGGATGTTATTTAACCAAAGGTCAAGAGGAAGACTGCGGTTGATCTCCAGACCACCAATTGACATTGACAGTCCCAATGAATTGTTGGCTGAAACTAAAAACGACTTTATGAGAATCAACAACTCTCATTAATACAAAATCCTTGTATATCCTAACCTTCTTCTGTAACTAGTTTTTTGACATCTTTTCTGTCTCCAGCAACCAAATCAGTGAAATACGATCTCTTCTCTTCTTTTCTATTTTCGGCACCTTCATTCTCCATTATTTTCTCTCCTTCTTTTGTTTTTCCTTTTCCTCTTGTCTTGTCTGTTCCATTTTCATTCCACACGGCTAAGGCTTTTTCAATATCTCCATTATATATATTTTTTGACAGTTCAAATATGTCTTTTTGTATTTTTTTTCTTGATACTCCTAGAGAACTTGATGGGAACAAGTTCACTTTTTTCTGTCTTTTATGACGAGATTCATTTTTCTTAGTAGTAGCTTCTCTCTTTGCTGGAGGTTTCAATGTAGGTGGAGCAGGTGTTATTGATGTTTCGGCAGGAGAAAAAGTAGCCTGTGCTGGAGTAGAGCTTTTTTCTAAAGTGCAGTGAATAAATATTAATAATCTAAATTGTAAACACCTTATAAATTGTTATAGCCTTCAATGATACTGACCTGAGATCTCAGTATATGGATGCTCAGATGGTTTCCAAGCAAAGCACATCTGATCATCCCCACCAGTAAACACTAAATCTTCATCAATTGGACTCCAAGCACAACTGAATAGTCGTCCTTGATGGTATCCCCTGAATATTGATACAGGCAATGCTGTTGTAATATCCCACACCTAACAAAAGTATCTTTTAGTTGATGAATTAACAACTTTTGCTTGATTCATTTTTGAGAAAGTATGTTCGTCAAAATAGTAATATTTATGAATACTGAATCAATACAATAGCTGTTCCGTCAAAAGAAGAGGATAGAAGTTTGGAGTTGTGTGACCATGCAAGGCCAGAAATGCCTCTTTTGTGGGACTTGAGTACAAGTGCTGGTGAGGAAGTAGGGATTGAGACTGCAGCAGCAAAAATTAATAAGCTTCTGAACATAATACAAGTAAAACATGTGCTAAGAATAAGCCATCAATCCTGCTTACTTGTTGAGTGTAATTTATCCAAATCAAATAAATCATGGATAGCAATCTTCCCATCATCAGCTCCTGAGGCCAATATAGGACCTCTAAAGTTTGATGTCTCAGGAACTGTATGACAAAACACGAGCACACCAGGTAAGTTATTATGAACGAGTAATTCGTTCAACAAACTCTTAATACATACCATTATCACACCAACATATTCGATTGACTGTCTGTCGGTGTCCATTAAATTGATATATTATCCTAAATGATGGCAATTCAAATACTTGAATAGTACCATTTGTATTCCCCATTGCAATAAATTTGCCTTTAGGGTGGATAGAAACCTCACTCCGTTTTGGTAGCTCTGTCAGGTTGCTCTATCATTAAGAACCAGTAGTAAAGATCATATTCTCTCCGAAAAGCATCACCACATACTCGACTCTTATATTATTCAACAGCAAACCTTTAAAGTCTCCGTCCACTCTGCATTTGCTTCTTCAATGACTTCCCTCACATCTACAGATGCTTTAATTGCTTTTTTCAAATCACTCATCAAACAAACACCATCTGCACCAACACTAAATATAATCATGTCTCCGGGTTCACTTCCTTTCGACCTTCTCTCTTCCTTCTTTCCCCTATTAGATGTCGCTCCGTCTCCATCCAACTCTCCATCCTCCCTCTCCACGCCATCTTCAGTTCTACCCACATCAGTTTCCCTCTCAATCCACCTTTTCTCTCCCCATTGAATAGCATAAACTTTTCCTTTATGGTGACTCTTAAACAATTTATGTTTCTCGTTATAGACATCAAACACGCCAACTGAACCCATGTCAGTTCCAAAAGCAAGAACGCCTTCTTGAGTAGGATGCCATTTCAGACTAGTTATCTTGCCTTTGAGACCTTTCCATAACATTATGGAACTAAACAAATCGGACGGATGTAAGTAGTTCCAGACGCGAATGGTATTATCTCCCAAAGCAATTGCTAGCTTAGTGGGATCAGGGATGGAGATATCGAGTTCGTAGACATAACTGCCCAGGCAAAGAATGGATTGGTGAGGTCGGTGCGTTTGAAGATGCCATATTATTAGCTATTGGTCGAATAAAGAAGAAAAGATCGGTGAAATTAGGGTCAAGCGGGACAAGGGTATTGCAAAGGGGTGGTAAAGAAAAACACAAATGCGACAAAAAATTCAATGTTATGCTCATCAAAAAGCTCAACTCAACAATTCACCTGTCTATCCATAGAAATAGTCACGGCGCGTGTCCCGCATGGATAAGCAATAATTGCAAATACGCTTCTGTTATGTCCACCAACAAAACTTAGACTTGACGAATTGCTAGCATCAACATCCCATTCATATAAGTAACCCCTATGATAGTATAAACGTAAAGTCCTGTTAAAACCTTATGCAATCTGAATTAAAAGGTTTTAAAACTATATATCTCTGCCTCTCCTAGACTCACATGTATGAACTCGTAATAATTTTCCAACTTCCCGGGACCCACGCCGATGCAAGCCACAAACGATTTTTTTGCTGTTCAGTTAATCGTTGTTTGGGTTTAGGAAGTTCAATCAACCGAATAGTCTTTTCTTCAGGTACATCCCAAATGCGTACTGTTCTGTCTTTTGAGCCGGAAATGAGATAAGTAAAAGACGAAGGGTTGCTAGGCATGGACATTGCAGACGCAGATGTAGGACTAGCTTTTTAGGTTGATGTAAATATGAGTTACGCGTCAAAAGAATAAACTAACATGTAAAAGAGTGAAGAATAAATGTGTCAGATCGAATGGTAAATAATACCTTGCTGCCATGATAAACTTTGAATTTCACTATCATGACCCTGTAATTGGTAGAGAATTTGGTTTTGGAGACTTGAATCATATTTTAGAATAACAATAGATCCATTCTGATATCTATGGTGCCAACAATGTAAATGATTTCGTTACGCGCGATATTGAAAATTGCACCATTAGTTGCAGAGAGAACCTGGGACATCATCAGCGTTTCATACCCAATTGCTACTACATCTTCAACGGTTGGTGAGGCTGCTATACAGTAGACTGGCGACGTCACTATGACTGATATGGAATATTTGTTTGTCTTTGTGTCCCATGCTACTATTTCTCCAGATTTGTCTCCTGCGTTGAGCCGGGTAAATCAATGATTTCCGTGAGTGTCTAGAAGAGGAAAATGAAAAGACCTACTGATAGAACTATACCGGCTATAACAAGCTCTTTATTTGCAGTCCAGGCAAGCGAAAGCACTTCATTCTAGGCAATGAACAGGCAAATATCTGTTTAATAAAGTCAAATCGAAACACCAAAAAACCGACAATTCATCACCTCTTACTACAACCTTGAACCCGCTGACGTATCCAATTTGCTTCCGCGTTTCTACTTCCCAACACCTAATGGTATTATCACTTCCCCCACTAGCGCAATATCTCCCAGACAACTCCACCGCGTTTATTCTATCCCCATGTCCTGCGAGACAGCCAATATATTCGAGCGTATCTGAGTGCAAAAGAATTATTAAATCACGACTCGCATAGGCTAGGACAGGTGGAGAGACAGAAATAGCCTTAGGGGCGTTCCAGTTTGGGGAGGGTGGAAAGAGGCGAGTGTGAAGCTTAGGAGCGGATACGGAAGTGGAAGGCTGGACCGGCATTATAACTGCTGTGGGTTCTGGCTACCGATGCGTATGGGATCACCAAGTATTTTGCTGATCATCGTACAGTTTTTGCAAGAGATTTCTATTCCATCTGGTATTTCCGAGTATGATTTGCTATTATGAAACCGTCAACTGGAATTTATTTATAATTTATACAAGATTCATCGGGTTTCTCATGTATCCAATCCTCCAGTTATCCCCATAACATATCAATTTATTCTTTTCGATTCGAAGCTTCTAAATATTTATGCAAACCACCGTATCTACAGATATATGTATATGTATGTATAATAACTATGATATAGTATAATAATATACAAGAAAATATATGTCACAAGAAAACTAACTACAATAAATTATAATCAAAAAAAATAAATCCTTTTTCTTTAATTCCACATGTCAGGATTATCATCCGACCGGTCCCGATTATTTCGCAAGACTCTTCTAGCTCGCGCAAAATCCTCCATTGCTTGAAAGTTCACGCAATAATTTATTTCAACCTTTTCCAAACTTGCATACGCTTCGTTCATCATTGGTTCGATCGCTCTCGCACGGATGTTACTGCAGTATTCAAAGGTAAGGATTTGCAAATTCTGGCAGATTGCCAAGTCTGTCAATAAATCGATATTTTCAAAGTCCATATGCGCCAACCGAAGCTCTCTGAGAGTAGACTTTTGTCCATCCAAGGTGGCAAGGAGTGCTGTAGGATCATTGCCATAGATATCATCAGGATCCTCATGATTCCTCTGCATTCCCTGTATGCCACCCCAGGAAAGAACGCGGAGCGCATTTTGGGCGCGTATCAGTTTCAGAGCCGCAGTTATGTTTTTGACAAAAGGAGTTGTTCCGAAGCAATAGAAGCTGAATGTGAGATTAGACTGAGTGGGGAGAAATTAATACTTGTATTAGTATGAAACAATAACTATCGAATCAAATGTTCTCGTGCATTTTCAATTCCCCTAGCCATTCAACGAATACTCACAATGTTTGTACACATGTCGACCAATTTATCCACCAAGTCGGTAAAATCGAAGGTTCCTTGGATGTCCAGAATATGTATATTTCTAATCCATTGACTGAATTCGGGCTCAAGAATGACTTGGTAATTTGTGACCCATACTTCGTTTTCATGAAACCCGACCCATCGGAGTTTCTCCAGAGGTTCGTTACTGGACTTGAATAATCTAAGCAGTTCACGCGCAACTTCTCTCCGCCTTTCGGGCCGGTTGCTCGCCAATAACCCCTGAGAGACCTGCTCTTGAAGCCATTGATCGACATAGCGGAATAACTTTTCAAGCGAAATTGAATTTATGAAGGTGCCGTATGGCATAGAGGGGTTTCCGGGGAGTAGTTCGTATATCGACAGTGATTGTTTGACTTCTCTTCGCAGGCATCTCAACAAAAGTACCAAGGACGCTGTGTTAAAGTCTCCATCAAATTTATTTTTCCATAAAATCTTTAAAGCAGCTCGGCACAATTTTTTGCATGACAGAGCTATTTGCATAAGCTGACGTTTTCGCGGACCTTGAATATGGTATTCGCATGAAAAACGATCACACGCAGCTGCATAGTCGACTATGCTTTCAAAGAGTTCGTCCGGAAGACTTTCTATAGATTTGACAGAAGACATGTATTATTTTATGGTGTCATAGCAACCATCTATAATAATGTTGGTTTTTTTGGTTTTTTTTTTGCCTTGGATGAAAAGCCACGTTTTTATACTAGCAGGTATTTTCCTAATGGGTGACAAACAAACAAATTAATCAGGTATTTGCGTGGTCTTTACCATAATCATCATTGATATCGCTTGATTGTAATAGTAATAGCAAAACTTCTCCATACCAATTTGTGATGACAAATATTTATTATTAAAAATAGCGTTCTTTGAAAATTCTGCTAAATTTGGCATATCTCCCTATCGCATCAATCCATTGGTTGTGAATGTGATATACCAGAGAGAAGCTACATTAATATTTACGGCCCTCCCTTACTATTACGTCAACGCAAAACATTATCAACCCGACTGTAAATTCATTGAGTAACGAGAAGATCACCTTTTTAAATCGTAATCACCAGATCAATATATTGCTTAGAGATAGCAACGCGCAACGTCTTTTTTTCCAATCTTATCAATATATCAGAAATAAGTCATGTGTCTCACACAAAACAATAACACTAAACTGATGTAACAAGACAGATTGTCTTGATAATGAACCAGAATATAAAGAATTCGTCTACGTATTTGTCACAGACATTGACTGGGTTGATGAGTAATGTTGTTCTCGATAAGACAGTACCACGTATCTGTACTATTATATCGGAAAGAAACGTACGAGGGCACAGGACACAAGCTTGCATTGTTTATAAAGTGAAACCAGAACATAGCTGATAGAGTCAAAAGGTGTTGGCGAAATTCGGCTTATACGATTCGACGGAACAGAAAGTGGCTTCGCTTTAATAAATTTAACCGAATTGCAATTATAATGATGTGACAAATTATAGATATTACTGTATTAAAAAAATTGGACTTCTGCACCGTCAACGACCCTCGCATATTTGCACGACTCTATTGCATACAGTGTAACGTAAAAGAGCATATGCCTCGCACAAAGCGATTACATTATGAAAAATAAAGCAATTTCTCAAAATTATAGTTGAGTAGCTTTGCTTTCTCCACCCCATCTTCACAACTTACTCAATATTATCTTCGCAATTTACTTTGCATAAAATTTTTATTTCTGCCAAGAAATTTTGACAAGTTATGGATAATAGTAATGATGAAACCTTTAACGAACAACGACGTAAATTAAGAAGAAGAGAGGCTGCAGCACGTCGACACATTAATCAAACAGCAGATCAAATAGAAAAACGAAAGAGACAGTATAGAGAATCAAAAGCGCGAATATCCGTACGCAATATGACTACTACAACCGACAAGCTACCTCATGTATTATTGCAATTCTGAAAATACTGACCTTTTGATAAATGTCAATTTTCATATAAAAATTCCAAAAGCAAGATTATTGTCAGGCACTTCATAAGTTCTTCCTTCTTCAGGATAATTTAAGAACTCACCAATCGGCAGACTGTCAGGCAAGTTAAGATCATTAACAGCTCTCTAACACTATTTGTGTTAGCTCACATTGTCAATATTAAATTTAGAGTATCCAATCATCTCCTAGACATCAGATATAACACATAGTACAAATCACATGAAAATCACGGGCGTGCATTTAGAGAGGGTGAGATACATATTATTAATATGGTGGGAAATGGAAAATGCACGAGCTTGGAAATAAAGTAAGGCGTGCATTTATAGAAGGTGTGCATTTATAGAGGGTGTGCATTTATAGAGGGTGTGCATTTATAGAGGGTGCATTTAAACTGTAATTTTAACTCGGTTTCGATTTTTTCGTGTCGCTAAAGGTATATAAGCGACCCTTATCCCATTGTCGAATTCTCATGTTATTATATGATGTTAATGTTGTAAATATTGTTCATATTATAAAATATTGTTCAGGTCATTAGAACAATAATTCCCACTCTATGGAATGATAATAAACGATTCCCTTTGAAATCGAAACTTTACTTTCTTTCATCGTTAAAATATTAATTATTTGACCGGACACACTAACAAACGGCTCTACCAAGCTGTATAAGTTGTCCGTTGATCTATTACTCTTAATTGAGGAACGAGAGCCAATAATTATTTATTGAAACAAAAATTGTTTAATTAGTTTGAGACAAGTGACGGAACCCGACTAGTCGAAACACCAAATCGAAGATAGCCCTATTTAATATCAAATAGAATTTATTCCCCTTCGATTCCGCAGTAGAATAATTGTTGTTGTCATTTTATTGTGGGTACCCTTATTTGGAATCACGAATGATTTAAAGCTCGGATAGGGAGTTGAGAAGCGCGCATTACTTTAATTAAATTAGGTCCCTTGTAGATTAGTATTCAGTCTTAATTGAACAACTACCGTAATAAGGGCGGTAGCACGAAGCTAATCTGGTAACATCCCCCGGTTGGAAGAACACCCCTACGCGAAAGATTTAATCGCTCTCCCAGACCCCAGACCATCCGACCGTAACAATATCCACAGGTTCGTCCTTAAAACAATTCACAATACAACGCAAAATGCACGCAAACCTAATAATTCGTTAGTGTGAAATCACAAATTATATCGCATCAAACCGTGGAAATATTATACCTAAATACTCGAAGAGTGGAAAACCGTATCACTGCGGAATTATCTGCTATTAAAAGATCACGGCGAAACTCGGGCGCTAATACCGAATTGCTACAAAGAATCGATGGTCTTGACCGCAATATAAATCTAAAATTCTTCTCTACCATGAGGAGAGCTACAAAATGGCATTTGGCTGAAAACGAAACATTCTATATGGTCTGTGTGGGTGGGGTAGTTATAGACAAAATTTATCAATCGTATATCGGTAGCATATTTTTTCAAAAACCCCAAGAATAGGAACACTCATTTATTGGTTTTGGATCCAAGCAATTTCCTCCCATGCACGGTCTTATGCAAGTACAAAGTATTAAGCTAAATCCTATAATATTTCTCAATCAGTTTCCATCGAATCTTCTAAAAATTCAGAGATATTATATCCAAGCAAATCTTCTTCTTTGCCTAGCAATTGAACAACCTCTTTAGTTCCATCAGGATACATCAACTGAACGGATTCAAAGTTTTCAGCACAAAGAACATAAATGTCGTCTTTGCCATGTCCCTCTGGAAATCCTTTCTTGTTATTTCGAATATCAATAACTGCCCCTTCTTTCGCATATTTAAGAATAGGGATGTATATACCACCTTCTTGAAACCTTTTTTGATGTTGTTCCAATTTATCTCCATCCCGCAATAGTTCAATAGCCCAATTACGGTGATCGTTAATGTAAAAATCAATGTAGCCTTTTGATCCAAACACTGCTCCAGCATCTACTGAAGCATGAACGTCCTCAGGAAGAACTTGCATTGATGCACGGTAGAACTCCATTTGCCATACACGTTCGAGAAGACGACCATCTACACCAGTACCCTTGCTTTTTTGCAACACCTTTGGGTCCATTTTTGCAAACACTAAAGTGATGAAGTCCCTGAATGTATTAGGTGGTGATTTAGACCGCGTGACTGAGCCAAACCGATTTTGAAGATATGTTGCTCGAAGCAATGGTGCTGGAAAGTCAAGAATCGAATGGTTATAATCTGTTGTCATTGCAGTATCAACAAGTATATTGGTCTTAATAATTCGTCCCTCATGTGGAATTGCACTGGTTTTAATTTTAAGACCCCCTTTTTTGAAGAGTACAGTATCGACCAATTTCTTTTCTGCATCTGACATATAAGTAATTCTTGGCATTGCACGAACATCCTAAGAAAAAGTACACCATGTAAAAACTGTCAATAAATATTTAGGTCATTTCAATTATTACAAAATTTATACATTTACCATGAAATGAGCATTAAAATCACGCGATTTGAGATAAGCAAAAACTTTGGCAAATGTCAGAGACTTAAAGGTATGTTTTACAAATCTTGCATGTATTTTTTCCATGGTGAAAGCAACTAAACCGGGATGGAAAGCTGTTATTGCTGACACATAGTGAGAAAGAAGTGGGGTGTCTTCTTTTTGCAACATTTCAAGATTCTTCTCACAAAAGTGATCAAAGTAATCATGAAATTCTTCTTCAGTAAAACAAACATCTGCAAATCCCCATGCATTGCTCTTTGGAAGACGATATGGTGAGATATCCATAATTGCATGATCTCCATCCACAGTGTAAGCACCATAATGTCCATATGAAGCAAATGCTACAATATGCAGGCTTGTGCTTTGCATTATCCTCTTGAATTGATCCCAAAATACTTTTCCGCCATGATGAGGTTCATCTTCATTCTCTGGCTTATAAATCTTTTGCACTTCATCAACAATCAAAAATGTTTCTTTACCACATTGATCGAGAAATCCATCCCAAGTCATCTTCATGAGGTCTTCAAATCTTTTTTCAAATGTCCATGATGAATTACTTCTTTCCATCCATAGCAATGAAATGCGAAAAACACGACTCCTTGATTGAAGCAAATAATGCTCAAATAGCTGTGTAAGTGCCGTTTTGCCAGTCATTGGTGGCGAATGAACTAGAATAACTCTCTCCTTGAGCACACATTCAAGAAGTCTGTTAAGAGTTTGTTCTCTCTGACATACAGTATCACAAC